ACAAAATGAAATGGAAGGCCAACACAATGTCATCCAAATTAATGATGACGAAGGTCAATCATTGAATGATCTAATAAAAGCATTACTAGATTTAGAAGAGAGTGAAATTAATGTAGAGAATGAAGATGAGTTTGAAACAGATGTTGAGGAAGACTTAGATGAAGAATCCGACAATGATGACCATGATACTAATTAGCATATGGTATATCCTATTAGAATATGTAATATTGTTTTTTATATTTAGTTGACAAATTATCCACATGGATTTTATGTAATTGAAGTAGTAAATCAAGGGTTTAGGCAACCTTGTCCTCCTAGGTTGTTAGGCTAGGCTGATTTTGTCCCCTTATGTAATTTTTTTACGTTATTTCAATATATCTCTAGTGGTACCGTCCTTGTTCTCTAAAAAAATTAGATATATGGTTTTGTTATCCTACATAGTTTACATGTACTTTTTTAAGGTAACGAGTTAAATATATATTTGTGTGTTCATGTTATTTGATATATGTTATTCATTAAATAAATATATTTTAAATTGTTCATATTAATTTGATCGTTATATGTTAGTATTATATAATAAATATTTTATTTCAATACTAATGAATGTAATAATGTGTAAGTCATAATAGCTCGAGGTAGGGGACGTTTTGGTATGCATTGGCCCATGTCATACGATGAGGGTCACGGTTCAAATACTTATTTAGGCGAGTGATCGTGGACGTGGATGCCATTCTTATTTCGTTCCTAATCGAATGGGCCCCTCCATGGAAATGCCTCCGTACCACTCTTCAATACCCCCGACATACCGTCCGTGGCCGACATGTCTCGGCTGAGCCGTATCTTTATTATGGACCTCCATGTCTCTTATATTTTCCTTCGTCATCACAACAAGACAACCGTTCTATTCCTAAAGACGTCCCATCGCGAACGTCCCTTGTCTATCGGCTTCGAACCTATTAGACCGACGATCGATCCGCAAGTTAGGTTTATTGTCGTTGGTCGTAATGAGTACGTTTTATGCTTAATTTTAAGAAATTTTTTTTTATTACCATAATTATGTATTCATTTAGTTTTTAAATTAATGTCTATTTTGATGGGTTGTATCCATCCGATGTTTGCTCTCGCACGATTGTTAAGACATTCCAAAAGTATGTTCATATTTTTAGATGGACGTGGAAGAAAATGAGTCCGGAGACAAAAGACTTCCATCGGAAAGAGTTTAAGGTACTAATTTATTTAATTAATTTATTACATTACTTCATATTTAAATAACAAATAATAATACCAAAATAAATTTACCGATGAATATTATTATTTTTCTTGCGAGAAATCATTTACGTGAGATGATGATATCAACAAGAGCACGATGAAGAAAGCATGGGAAAGTTTGGCATAGAAGCGGTATTCCAACTTTCTTTATCGTCTCAAGAGAAAACGAAAGCCGGCATTTATCTCACAGGACATATGGGATGCATAGACAACGAAATTGGCAAAACCCAAGTCCATTACCCGATTTGAGATGGCAACCCGAAGCTGCAGGAGCGAGATTGGTGGCATCGAGCTAGTCTTTCAAGACATACGGGGGATTGATCGGTCATAGAAAGTACACAATATGCATGGTAAATATATATATATATACAATGATATCCAAAATAATTAATTAAATATTTGAGTATGTTTAATACATTTACTTATATTGGTTTCAGCGTGAGGTGTTGGGTCGTGAACCCGATCCTAACGAGGTTTTCTTGAGGACTCATCGGAGAAAGGTTGATGATCGGTAGTCTTCGTCGATCAACGATCAAGACTTATTGATGTAGGTTATTACTTTATAACGTTATTTCACATAATTGTTTACTATTATGTGTTTCACAATTATGCGAAGACAATAGAAAGATTAACAAATGAGGAGGAGGTTGCTAGCCGATAGTGGGGGACTCGCATCTACCGACGGTAACATTAATGAGATTTTTTAAAAGGCCATTGGTGGAGGAGATAGTAAGAGGAAGAGGATGTACGGACTCGAGTCACATGCATCTCACTATTACTTTAACGTCAATACGGCCTCGAAGCTCGGTAACTTCACGGTTTCATGCTATCAACGAGGCATAACGAAAAAAAGTCGATGATCAAACATCCGCAAATACTATAGAGATCCAAGCACTTACGAGGTACTCGTCACATCGCTCGAGGGTAATGTCACATCGTTGTTAGCTACAACAAATGAGTTGAAGGAGTATACTTCATGACAACATACGATGATGACACTAATGCAGCGAGATATTCAAGCATCATTTTCGGTAAGGTGATAGTTTATCCGTCGTGCTCGAGACCGGCGACGACGCCACCCAACCTCCAAGTGACGATCCTATCAATTTCTCTTAGCTAATATGTTTTCTTGTAATAACAATAAAATTTATACTCGTTTTCAAGAGTTTTATTATAAAATTGAATAATATTTATTACATTTTAATACAATTTATATTTATAATTATAAAATTATAAAATATTATGTTTTGGATATTTAGTAGCCTTTTTAAATAACAATTGGTTAATTTCAGATATTTAAATTGGGAGTGAAATTTTTTTTTGAATCGGACGATTAGCGGTGGAATTAGACCGTCGTTAATTCAAAAGAAAAATGGGAAAAAAACCGTCGCTAAATGGCGACGGACTTAGCGAGGATTTTTTTGCACCGTCGCAAATATTCTTTCGGTTTAGTACCATATTTAGTGATGGTTTTTTTTTTTTTTTTGCGACGGTTTAGTCCATCGCAAAATTAGCGACGGTTCAAAAACCGTCGCAAAAAATTAACGACCGAGAATTTAGTGATAGTCTTTGGACCATTGCAAAACCATTACTAATTCGAGTATTATTTTGTAGTGTTTATTGATTAGAATTGAAAAAAAAATCAATTATAAAATGATTAAACAAAAATCAAGATCATTGGATATTTGAAGCATTTATCAATAATAAAATATCATGTTTTTATTATGGAAAAAGTTTGATTGAAGGATGGGAATAATAAATAATCAAACTATTATTCTAAGTAAATTTTGAAACAAATGGAGGGGTCTTGAAATTCAATTTTCAACCTTTTTTTTTCAATATCTCAATAAAAGTATGCAATTCTTACATTAAATTTCATAATATGAATTTCACCTAGTTTTAAATAAACAAATATCGAAAAAATTGTGTTAAACAATTATCTCTTATGTTTTTAACTAATCCTCTCTATTTATTATACAGATAATTTCATCTATTATTATGTAAATAGTAAATTATACTCATTCTATGTGGCTAACCAAAATGACTATGAACTTATGTGTTCTTAGTTTTGGTTAGATATATATAGATATTATCGAGTATGAAAATTATAAAATAAAAGGGGAGAGAGAGACAGAATAGAAGGGCGGTTGAAACATGGTTGGGCTGATCAATGCGCGTCGATTGTATCACGTTAGACACGAGATCAACGAGTATACTTTAAACAAAAAGAAAATTAATTAACTTGCATTTCATCTCCCTTTTCTCCTTCAAAACTTGACAGCATCTGACCTTCTATTTTTTTCGGCTAAACGCATACAGCATTCATCTTAATTTTGATTATCGTGTGAATAAAATAAGTTTGTAATTAGAGGGTACTTTTGGAATTTTGGAAATTATATAGAAGAAGATAATAACGGGTTAGCGTGTCTTATCGTCATTGTTCGTAGCAGACGCGGATGGTGTCAAACAAGCTTTGACCAACCTCAGGTCTGGGAGGCTACAAATTGAATTTTTCTTTTTGAACACTTCTTTCATTCAAAAGGAAAAATAAATCAAATTCAATCAGTTTCCAATTTCCCCAACGTTATATCTGAGAATTTGGACGGATCAAAAAGACACAAGTTACTTCTTATATGTAACAATTTTTAACCCTCTTTTATAACTATTAAGCACTAATTAAATATATTATTATTTTTTTAATCTGTGAGATATAAATAGTCTTCCATTTCGAAATCTAAAATTTAAAACATGTGGTATCAAAAATAAATAAATAAATAATGGAGGTAGTTTTTGTTGTGGCCAATAATTGATTAATAACTGTTGGGTTTAATGGATATTTGGCTCATCTATTGTTTCAATTTTTTTCATTGAGATTGTCTTTTCTTTTTTTCATTTGATCAAAATTCTCTAATTTTAAAAAATTATCGTTTCAAATTTTTTATTAATTATCCATCCGACGTAATATGTTAAAATTAACGATAATTAATTTCGAATAAACAAATAGCATAGTGGTTAAAAAAAAAGATTTTTATCATTAAACTAATATTTAGTACTTAAAAATAAATGAAAAAGACATCATTGCCCCGAGCCCCATTATCCCAACCAACTGATTCTTTTTCACTATTAAGCCTTATTTCTATTATTTTTTTCAAACTCATCCTCCCATTCTCTTTAGCTGAAAAATTATAATCTCTAAATCTCAAAAAAGAGTAAAAAGAGTAATATTTCTATCATAAGGATCCTGATTACAAAGTTACAGATACTGAAAAACAACAAGAAAAGCAAAATTGATAATAAAATAAAATAAAATAAATAATACTCCTTAACACCATATTTCAATTTTCAATTCTTCATTCATCATCCTGGCTACGCAACCTAGCAAGCATGTTAGAAACAACAACATCAAGCTGAGTTGCTCGCTATACAAATCTATTTTCTCTTCCTTGTTGACACATTATGTGTTATCTCAGCACAGTAAATCCTGTTGTGCTTTATCAACACTTCAAGCTTTTTGACATTGTGGACGATAAATTTCTCGAAGCCATTTGAAAGATAATGACGAGTCATTTCCTTAGCTTGGTCTCTTTGTTCCTTGGAACTTAATTTGCTATTAGGTCCACGAAACTAAATCTACTATCTAAATCCTTGATTTAAATCTTGATCTACACCTGCCTTGCCTTGCCTTACCCATCTGATCCAAAGAAACAGATTTGATCTCCACCTGCCTTGCCTTACCCATCTTTCATAGTTTCTGATTTTGAAGTTAATGGGAGCAAAAATCTCCAACCCATTTCACCAAATTCCAACTCCTATTTCTAAAGACGCAGAGATTGAGAAAGAAACAATGAAAAGAGAGAGAGAGAGAGAGTGACAATGTTAAAATGTTAAACACTATTTCGATTTGGGTTGGGATAATAGGATGGGGGCAGTGTTGTTGTTTTTCACTTATTTTTAAATACTAAATATTAATTTAGTGATAAAATATGTTTTTATTTTTTATTTTTTGAATAGAGATCGGTGCAAGTAGAGACTTATTATGCTACGTGTTTATATGTAGTTTGTCACTTTTTATTTTAATATGTCATATCAAATAAATAGTTATTGAAGAGTCCGAATGAACAAATTTATAAAAGTAAAAATTTTCAACCAAACTAATAAAAAATAAAATATTAATTAAAAAAATTCGAACAATACAAAAATTAAATATATGAAAAATCCAATAACTATTATTACGCTTAATAATTATTGAGGCTTATATATCATTGTTTGGCTAATTATGTTTTTTTTTTTTAATTTATTTTTGGAATAAAAAAAGAATAATTTATGGAAAGGCTCCATCATTTATCGTAATAGCAGATGGAGGTATCCATAGTAGTATCAAATCATGTATAGTTTTGCAGTTCTACTTAGAAACCCAATGACCCAAGCCTTTGATCGGGTTGGATTTACGATTAAACTAAAGAAGCTATGGATTCGATTAAATATGATAGTTTTGATCGGTTCAACTGAGCCGACTAGAACTCGGTTGATTGAAGAATTTTAAAATTGATTATTTATTTATTTATTATTTATACTTACAAATCAGACCTAGGGATAATGACCTGTAGAATATCCAGCAATCCAATGACCCAATATCAACATGTTCATATTCTGAATATGGTTTAACAAGTATGATTATAGTAGTTTATATCTTACGGTAGAAATATGTTTTAGAAATATTTGTAGTTACCGAGCCACCATTTAGGGTAAACACCACGACCATTGTTTTTTCCACTAGTGAGGTGGACCTTGGTGGGTTTTTCATTTTTTTAATGTGTTTCAATTTTTACTAAACTCGAGTTGATAAGGTGGAATTGGAACTTAGGATTCCACTCTTATGGCTTATACAAGAGTTATATAAAGCTATAAGTTTATTGACAGCGGTTGTTGTAGTAGAGATGGGGTAGCTATATGGTTCACAAGGGTATGCCAGTTTCTTGAAAAAAAAAAAAAGATTTATTAATTGTCATTATTGCTATCATTGCTAGTGTCAATCATAATGATCTTATTGATTTAAGTAACGAACCTTCAAACTTCTTCTTCTTCTTTTTTTTCACTTAAAATATATATTTTTTTTTGTTTGATTGGATTAATTGACAATGGATGTGACTATTTTTTTAAGATCATTGTTAGTATGCTCGGTGATTGTATTGTATTTGAAACGTAGATTGATCGACTTATGTAAGAGTTAAATTGACACTTTTAATTTAGAAGGATTGAATTATTGTTTAGTAGATAATTGAAGTGTTTTTATTTTGATTTTAATTCTGTATTTTCGTATTATCATATTGATTTTGTCTTCTTATTATTGTATATCTATCACTTTTCAATAAAAAATTTATAATACCATAAATCTATTAAGAGATTTTTCTTTTTTCTTTTTTTAAATTGTCTTGCCCTTTTAGAATAAATTAGGATAATAAATTTAAAAAATAAAAATAAAAAAAAATCTGAAAATAGTTATATGATATTTATAGGATTTTTTTTTTTAAAAAAATGGTTGTATTCATTTAAATCCACTTAACCCTTTACTCACCCATTGATCCTTTTCAATTGTTTGATGAATTTTGATCAAGTGTACAATCTGCCATGTAGGAACTTAATTGAAAAAACATTTAATTTAAGAAAAAAAGTATTTATTAAAAACAAATGTTTAGTGACTTGTATTGAAAAAAATTAAAAACAAACCCATTTTTTTTTACCATCTTATCACTGTAATGTTTTTAAAAACTAACAATAATTTGTTTCAAATAGCTCTTTCTTCTTTTGCCTATATATATATCTTTGTTTCTAATCAAATGCATGTACTATTTTATACATTGCTTGGAAAGAAAAAATAATCCTTTTATTTTGTCTTCTCTATTCTCCCACCAAAAACCATATTTTTTGTGTTATTTTGTATTTCAAATTTGAGTAAAAATGATATTATATTTTAGTAAGTTTAAATATTACAAATTAGTATAAACTTGTAAGACATTCTACGATGAATTAGTTTGTTGTGTTTTTAAAACGGCATGTAATATACGTTTAATTATTGTATCAAAAATCTTTTTAGACAACATGTATTAAATTATTTCAAAAAAAAAATAATTTGATTGTGTCTTAAGGTTATAGTCTTGAAAATTTAATAAAGTTATTTTAATATTTTTCTATTCATAATTTCAGATAATTTAACGGGTTCCAAACAATTCGCGATTAAAACTGGCGATTTGTATTTTAACTTATTAACATCAAACCCTGAAAAAACTCTTGTGGGAATTTAGTACGGAGGGGAGTTATCCTCGATTATAGATGGGCCTCCTAATGAATATGAAAAGGGGGAATTTTTCTTGCAGCAGCTAATTCGTTGGAACTTGACGTCTTGTCCACCAGCAAATACCAATGACAAATTAGCAAAGCTTCAAAGAAAAGTGAAACAATCCTAGCTAACCAGTACAAGACAGCTCATTCAAAGAAAATGGGTTTTCCCATCATCTCACCAAAAAAGTAAAGTTTAGTTTCTTGGTAAAAACCTGTATTGATGTGGTGTCCATTCACACCCACTTACAAAGCGCTAAAAAGTGTGTATGCGCACACACACACTCTAACTGGATGTAATTCTATCAATGTTAAATCCCGACCCAGTCAGCAGAAATATAAAATTTCTAGAGCTCAAATTAATAAGGAGTAAAAAAAACCCTTCATGAATTGGATACATCAGTACATATGGCAGTACACCATGTTAGATCACGGTGTATCATCAAGTACTTGATGTCCCAGAAATGAGAAAGGAGAATTTGGTAATTTTGAGAACTGTTGTTAGGTGATCTTATATATTCTTAGCCAATAAATGAATCATAGTTTTATGCTTTTAAATGCAGCAAGTTTACCAAATTTGTATAGTATGGAATGGAGGTTAGTAAACTGCTATGGACGTTTGCAAAAAAAAAAAAAAAAAACAAATGCATGCCGAATCGAGGATTTTGGTTTTCTTGTTGGGGTAGGCGTGGCAGGTGATCTAGAGAGTGGGGCAGTTGGTGTAATGTCAATGACCCAAATTAGTTATACCAGTTTTGTCAATTACCCAGTCCTTTAGCTCTGCTACCGTCACCCAAACAAACCCCACACTTGGGAATATGATTTTTAATATGATGGTGCTTTTCGTTTAAGGTTGGGAGTGGTGTGGCCACTGACTCCATAATTTTTTTGTTGCTTATCTCAATAACGAATGGGGCATCTGTGATTTGGGGTTAAGTGGAAGTGGATTGCTGATGGGAAAAACATGGATGTCGAGTCACTAACGACTTTCTATCAACCTCGATGTGCAAAATCCAGAAAAATAATGACATGCTCAAATATTCGTGTCCATGATATGGGTCTTTATATAATTTTTTAACAAAATAATGTCGTCTAACCATCGATTGCCACCACAACTGGAAGAGACTTAGACAATCAATATTAATTCATTGACAAATGATCCAAAAAAAAAAAAATCTTTCAATTCACTTTATAAAAAAAAAAAAATAATTAATTTTATGAGATGTTCTTATCACATCACGATTAATTATAGTTATATATACATCATTGGACAATAATTATTGTCCAAAAAAAAAAAAATTTCAAACTTTCAAATAGATGTTAAAAGCTTTTGAACACAGAGAAAAAACCCAATCATATAAATTGATAAAATCTCCGCATAACAAGAAGTTTAGAAATCAAATATAACAAGTTTCACATTTTGAATTCAAAATTGTTATATTATCAAATATCTTTTTTTATATATATATATAAAGCTCTTATAACATATTAGAGAGTATGATAGAAAAAAATATGATAGATCACAATTGTAGAATATTTATAGCTCAGTCCTGATTGTGTTTTTAAAGTGTTAGAGAAATGTACCATCTAAAATACATATAAATTCTTTAAGAATAAATAGTTGTTCATGTCTTACAGCTCATTCATACTCATATCTAATTGATATAATAAGGATTTGGAGTTCCATCAGATTCAATTTTTATTTTAAATTAACACTAAATTATTTATTTTGGAAAACTGTTTGATTATCTAATACATTAACAAAGCTGAGTCAGGTAATCAACAAAGAAAAATGTATATTAATCACAGTGCGGAAGTATTAGTAAATAATTAAGTAGACTTCCAGGCTGTTGCCGAAAAGCTACGATGATCTTTTTTAAAGTGGAGCATAGGCTGCATAGCGAGGAGAGAATGAATCGGGGATTTGAACTCACAATCCTTTTCTTTTTCTCATGATCTTGTGAAGTATACACGAGTAAGGTTTTGGTTTGAGCGGGCTTAGCTCTAAGATGGATCTGGCTAGGCTAATCATAACATAATCAACTTGAATTCCATACAGCTACTTGAAATCTTATATCTTCTTCTATAAACAAAATATCAATTTTATCAGTTATGAAAAATAATTAACATTAAATTATTCATTTTGATTTAAAAAAAGAAGAAGTAAAAGAGAGTATTAGATTAATAGGATGCGAATTCAAAAGCCAAAATAATCATGTATTGGGCCGGGTTTGGCTGCTAGTAAATGGACATACTTTGTAGTTTAACCTGTTTGGGCTGGCTTAGTGTTTGCAGCCATGGATTACATTACAAGCTCATTGGCCTTAGTTTGTTTGGGTATCCTGGATTCTTCATGTTGGTTCCTTCACCAGAAACCAGAAAACGAAGTTGCGCTAATTAGAAATTTAGAAAGCGGTGCAAGGAAAAAAACAACAAAACAGAGAAAGAGGATCGGTAACCACGGTGAGAGCAAAAAATGAGGGGAAATAGCAGACCACTACTGGCTCGAGCATTATCTTTCCGAACCCGCCGGAGGTCCATTCACTCCGCCTCCTCTCTCCATGAAAACCTAATTTCAAATCCAATCAAAACGTCACCTCCAGCTCCAAATCGTTCAACATCACTCTCCAACAATAATAGCTTCGCCACAAAATTTCACTTCTCAACTCCTTCTGTGCAACTCTTCCTGAGAACCCTCTCCTCCTCCGCCGCCTCCTCCTCCTCTTCAGGTAAAAGCCTGCATCGCTTGTTGTTGTTGTTGTTGTAAATTCCTTTTTTAAAATGCTGTATGTATACATATTGCGTTAATGATGAATCGATCATATAATTTCAGGTGCATCAAACATTGTTCTTGTAAAATCAGATGAAGAGTTGAATAGCGGACTGAAAAATGTTCAAGGTATTCGAATTAGTCCTTTTACTCTTTCAGTTTGTTCTATTCAGTCCTTAAATTAGAAATTGTCCTGTGTTACACGCCATTTGAATTTGAAGGGCTTAAGGGAAAAAAAAGAAAGCAAGAACACATTAGAAATTGTATTGTCAATTCCTTTTGGCTTACATTACATTTCTCTTGAAATTTGTTGGCTCAGAGAAGTCTTCTCCGGCGGTTTTCTATTTCACTGCTGTATGGTGTGGGCCTTGTAAGTTCCTCATTAATCATTGTTTTGGTTTGCTTTCGGACATTGTGATTTCTCCTATACAGATATTTGTGTGTTCTACAGTAAGTAGAGCTCTAGTTTGGTCTATTTTATTGAATGTTCGTCTTCTGCAGGCAAGTTTATTTCTCCTGTAATTGAAGAGCTGAGTAAGAAATACCCTCATGCAACAATATATAAAGTTGACATTGACACGGTATGAAAGTTTCACGGCTTCATGTTGTAAAATGATACTTCTATTCTCAAGAAAAAAGTTTTCCACTTGAGTCATGGGATTTTCTTTCCATTTACATTTCAAGAAACTCAATAAAACCAATTAAAATGAATTCAAATTTGCAATGCCATATTTTCTCTAGGGTTTTGGTTCACGAGGAACAGGGTTCATTTCATGATCAATTGATTATTACTTGAAAAAAGCAATAAACCTATAATCCGTTTTTACATATGTGATTGAATTACCTAGGTCTTATGTAACAACTTCCAAAATTCTTAGGAAAGAAGAATAGTTTTAAATAATTTGATTTATTTATGGGGCTGTTCTTGGAAAAAGGATTCGAGAGGGACTACAGTTCTTGCCATTTTTTGCTTCTTATTATTTTCTATTAAAGTTGGATGATGAAATTAGGCAACTTGGATCTTACTGTAACAGAATTTTCAAATTAGTGTGTGATGCATGATGAGTATCATGATGCTGTTAACTAACTTTTGTTAACCGATGGTCATTATTGATTAAAAGGTATAATGAATAGCATTGGGGATGAAACATCAGGCTCTGCATTACAGAGGTACCTAAGATGAACCTGTCCTAATGGTAAACGGCTTCAATCTGGCTGGGGGAGTTTGTGGAGCTTTTTATTGTGTCAATAACCTGGGATGAGACTAATTGAAAAGAAATAAGAGCATAAGACGATGGGAAAATCATATTTAAAGGCATTAAACAACATCAATGTTATGCATGAAACATTAGGTCGTGTGCTTTAGGTTTATCTAAGATAAAACCATCCTAGGGACCCTAATGATCCACAACAAATAATCAATGGCTTGATCTATCTGCCACAGCTAAACAAGCTTCTTGTGTTCTTTATTGGTTGGAAACACAGAACAGCATGAATAAAAACGAATAAGAGTATAATAGTAGGAGCAGATTGATTGAAACAGTTAAGAAATCAAGGCTTTGTCTTGGACTGTTGAGTATTCTCAATTAGCTTACAGGAAAAGCTATCTTGTAATCCCTATTGCAATGCATCACATTGCTAAGTTTTGGTCTTTATATTTCAGAGATACAAAGCAACCTTGTCGAAGGCCAAATTTCTTTCTGTTTTATGGTAGGATTGATAGTCATGAATTCAAAGTGGCAGGAACTAATTTTGCTTTCTTGCAGGCAGAGCTTCAAAATGCATTGGCAAAATTGCATGTTGCTGCTGTGGTAAAGTCCGCTGTTCTTTTCCCACTATTCTTTGATTGCTGCTATTCCATATGTGGTCCCAGGACATGACCTATTGTTTCTTGTTTTATTCTTGGAATGTTTTTGGGAATGATGGTATGGGTTTTGGGCTTGCAGCCAAGTCGTTGCTGGTTCAAGGCCTAAGATCACCTGCTATATGCAATTTTTTTGGAGGTTGAGAATTTGAGTCTGTCTCCAAGTTTTCCTCCTGTTCTCTGTTTTCATTATCCGCTGATGGACTATTTTGAACTGATAATAACATATGTTTTACTTCTGCTCTTCATTTTCTTCACGGCACAAACTGAAATCTTCCGATGTTGTGATATGAAATGGAAAAACATTGAATTCCCCACTTACTGCCACTAAACCAACAAGGTTTTCATAAATTAGACTGCTCCGATTTAAAGAGAGTTCTCTGCATGACTTGATCATTATGGAGCAGGCATGAGAAATTGTATGTTGGTTTTGAGAGATGCAATGAAAGCCAACATGGCATTAGGGAGAAGGTTTTGGTCATGTCAAATTGTTAATGAATTACATGCTAACCATTCAGAGGGGGGACCTTTTGGAATATCTTTGTAGGTTTTGGCTGGAGGAAAGTTTGTGATATTTACAGATATTTTCTGTGTTCATAGTTGTTCAGATTTTAGAGGGCTTGCATAAGAGGAAACTTAGAATGTCTAATGATTTGTTCTATTTGTAATGACTGATGCAAGATAATATGATGCTTCTAGTGTTTGTTGTTAAATGCATTAGAGCCTTTTGGTTGAAGTACAATGCAATGTGAGGCACTCTTGTTTTGAGTTTAATTCTCATTTCTACTAAAAAGCTTTATCTTCCTAGTTGTATATGTGCACTATTCTCCTTATATAATTATTTAATTTACCTAAAGCCTTGCCTGTTGTGCACAATTTCTTTTTGGAGGGTGTATCTGACTAAAATCTTACTGAATTGAGTCTTCTTTTGCAGCCAACTCTTGATTTCTACAAAAATGGCAAAAAGGCAACTACGATTGTTGGTGCTGATGTGGCCAAGTTGAAGAATACCATGGAATCTCTCTACGGGTAATTTCTAAGTGGATTAATTTTGATTTTGCATATGTGTCCGTGTGTCAGTGACTGCTAGGCAAGTGCATCATTGCTTGTCTGCAAACCAAACTTTATGTAGTCATTATGTCTATTGTCTACATATGGGTTTTTCTTCAGCCTGCAACTTTCTATATGCCCTTAGAGTGCTTCAAGGAAGTAATTTGAACTCGACCAATTGTATATCTATATATGATGGTGCTTTGTTCCTCACAAGCAGGTAAAAGAGTCAGAAATATTTAAATCTTACATGATTAAGGCTTTAAACTCCCCACCCAACCTCCTTTTTTTTCTTTTGAGAATGATTAAATCTCTTAACTTGATGAAATTTAATTGCTGATTTTTGTATGCACATGTGGGCAACTTGTGCTGAAACTCCCTAGAACTGATTTTTTGTATTTGTCAACAAAGCTAATGTGTTGGTTTGACTAGCGTATGCTTTGTGTCTTGTAACGGCTTTCATTTGGGGATGTGTTTGACGTTCAGTTGTTTCCAAAGATTTCACCTCTAAAAGCAGTTCCTTTTAGATTTGCATCAACTTATAATTATTCAAAATTTTCAGTTTAAAGGGTGGGTGTAGTTGGAAATTAGGTTTCTGTTGAATTAGAAGCATTTATACATTAGGGGTGGTGTTAATGGAACTGACCGTTGGGAACAATTTTAGATTTTGGGGAAAAATTAAAAAAGTCTCCCAACTAAATAGCTATCTCAATTAAGTCCCCTGAATTTTCTTTCTCATTTCATTCCTAAAGTTCCAGAAATCTCTACTTAAATCTCTTTTCCTTCATGGATTCCGTCCAAATTGCACTTCTTTTTTTTTTGTAAGACATTTTGCAGGAGATTTAATTTTATCCAATAAAAAATTAAAAGAGCTTAGATGGAGAACTTAAAGGAGAATTTTAAACACTTTAGCAATCCAATTGAGACCTTATTGTGAAAATCGCATTTGTCTAAGGATGCCTTTTCTTTTTTTTTCCTCAGGAAGGATTAATGGAAGATGCCTAAAGAGAAGGTTTGATATTGCAAATGGATCGTGAAAGTGTTGAAATGACGGTGGTTTTGTGATATTCTCTAGAAAAGTTTTTAAGATGATTTTAATATATCAGGCCCTTTGTCTCAGAAATTATTTTGTAGTGATTAATGATTCGTTGGTAAAATATGCTGTGAAAAGACTTAAAAGATGATTTGCCCATGCTGGTGGATTGGACTAAATAAAGAGTATATTTGGTCTAATCTATCTTTGATCATAAGTGTATAAAATGCTCCATTGAAGAACATTTGATTGGCATCCGGTCTATCCATTTCTCATTGTATTCAGGGTGGTTATGCTTACCTATTACACATTTCCTTAAGAAGCCTACTGTCTCCATTTCTCAATGTGTTCAGAATTGTTTGGATTTTCGCTGAAACTTTTTCTTTCTAATGATCTTCCATTTCTTTTTTTTTTCTTTTTTTTAATGAAATTTCTTTTGCCAGTTGTTTGATGTGATAAAGAGGTTTGATGTACTTATCTTTTGAAGACAATTCCTAAAGTGGTTTCCCCTCAATCGCTGAAAACATTATGCATTCCAAGAATGTGTTTCGTAGCAAATTTAACTGAAGGAGCATGATTCGTGAAACAACTAGTGCACCTGAACCAGATATCACAAACTTGTCTGCAACTGTAGAATGTTTATTGCTGTAGCAATGCTATTTGTCGAGGGCGACAAATATATTATTATTAGTTGATCATTTTCCCAATTTTAGCTTATTGAATCATTCCAAAAAATTTGTAGCCATTGGTCAAACAACCCTAACTAGCTTAGTTTGGACCTAGGTGGCGCGGTCAATCGGATTTGACTTTCAGTTGCGAAAAAAAGCTGTCCTTTAAAGTATTTTCCATGTGGACGTTCTTGTTATTTCGATCATATTAAGACAATGATTATTAACGATTGTTCCAAATTCTCTCCAAATGAATTAAAAGTGAACAAAACTGTAAGCAACCCAGATTCCGGTTACCCATGAATGTGGTTGCATGGCAGAAAATAGGATCAGCAAGAAATGTATCATTATTATGAGATGGGAAGCTCCTAGCTTTTTTTTTTTTTTTTTTTTTTGCACGTACACTTGTGGAAGGAAAAAAGCATCATATGGAGATTCAAAGGGCCTAGGGCTGCCAATCTAACGTGTCCTTCAGTCCTTGTCATTTCAAAGGTCATCAAAATGCAAAGGCTAGAGTTGTCATGGGCCGGCATGGTCATGTGATGTGATACAGGAGAGGACAACAGGTTGGGAGGTCTACCACAAACATTTAGTGGAAGTTTGTTGGCCCGTTAGCAGTTTTGACCTTGGTTTCAAATTCCTTTTTGTTTGTTTCGTGTTTTTTTTTTTTACTAATATCTAGAACAAAGACATGTTTTGTGCAATCCGAAGTTGCATAGTATTGGTTTTGTATTGAAATGACACTGTAATTTCTTTGCAACTTGAATGCTTCCTGTGAATCACGTGCGCTTAACTAATAGTACCACTTTTTTTTTTTTTTTTAGAATAACACCAAATTTATCGTATCAATTATAATAATATTACGTGACATATATAGAAAGAATTCCCGTAGCTTATTAATTTATGAAAGTTTCTTCTTTTTTTTCCCTACGTTAATGGTATTTTCCGATTATTTGTATGTAAATTGAAGTTAAAATATCTCTTCGGACAACTTAAGGGTATATCTCCCAGATCTACTAATTACATTTAGAATAATTTTATAATTTTTTAGGCTAGTAATTCTAACGTTTGATCTCATAAAATTAAGAAAGAAAACAAACCTCTTTAAATTAATTACCAACCAATCTTTAAGATTAATTTAATCTATAGAATGATATTGGCAATCGCCTCCCTCCCTCTCTCGAGGGTCCTGGTAGAGAATATCGTTTCTTCTTTCAGATTTATTGGTGTATTCTGGGCCCTTTTGTGCGAATTTGGGCTTCAGCAGGTCTGATCCATTACCAAAGAAACCCAATACAGAGTGCCTTTTCTTTTCCCCTATCACTGCAACCATGCAATGGCGTACAGCTCTAAATGAAATTGGGGTTCTTTGTCCAGCTATTAAACACCAAAATTAAATCCTTCTCTGTCCAGGAAAAGGAAAGCAAAAAAATTATTCTTTCGGTCCCGAAGAAATTATCGTTTTTAACATATATATATAAGATTATTAATTATTTCTTTTGACAATTATTTTAGGATGGAGAGAGTAGATAAATATAATTCTAAACCAAGAATTTTAGAATTCAAGATTGTATTAATGCAGGTTTCCGATGAATTAAGCCTATGTAATAATTTTCGAATAAACTACTGCTCATTAAATTGGAGAATTTATTAAAATTCTACTGCTTATCATATGATATAAGGTCTGAATCTTAAGTAGTGTACTAGACAGCAATAGATGATAACTCTTATGCTAATATATAGACTTCCTTTTTAGGTCTATAAGATTTACTATTGTGACAAGAAATTACATAAAATATAATTTCATTAAAATCTCATGAACATGAAATAATTTACCTTGTAGATCATTAAAATGCATATATATAGAAAATTCATGCACCGGGATGTGGAGGAAGAGATTGATAAAAGCATTCAACCAAGTAGCTCCAGCCACTTCTGATTTCGTCTCAATTTTCAACGAGGGATCTTCCATCGATCATGGGTGAGAACGAGAGGGAGAGAGATCATTAAAGATAGATCAGACCTAGAAGGTAGCAGAGTAGGGGGTAGGGTCAAAGGGAGGACGGGAAGAGAGAGAGAGAGAGAGGAACCAATGGTCAAAGAAATGGGACAATGATAGGCTCTGGAATATCTGGCGTCGGGTCCCTTTCCACATCCACCTGTTTAGCAAGTGTACAACGAGAGTGACAAGTATGTCCATCTGCATTTGCAACTCGCAATGCCAAATTCAAGAAAAATTTAAATAAAACAAGCAATAGTCCCTGCTGCTGGTAGTGGTGGGACTTTCGACCCTTTCTACCCTCCTTTTTCTGAGCATCCATTTCCTGTCACTACTTTATTTCCATCATGTCTACGTTGATGTAGTGCTGCGAGGAGGTAAGCACTGTGGTACCAACCCAAGAATAGCTTCCGCGGATACCTCAATTATGCATTTGACACCCATCTTCGAACATCCTTCTCAATCTTCAGCTCGTGTTTCCCCATCTCCCCACGACTCGGCTGTTTATTACTTGTTGTCAAGACTGTTTTATAGAAAGTTCAAAACCATATGCATTAGTGGAAGGTCTCATTCACAGTATCTGAAAAAAAGAGAAAAGTAAGTTAAGAGAGAGGAAAAAAAAAAAGTACAAAACTTATCTCTCTCTCAAAAATGTTTCTCTTCACCTTTCAAGGTTGAATTTTAGCCTCTAATTTGCCCAATTTATAGGTTAAATTTTAACACCCTAAACGAATTCCCCTCTCCACTTTCCTTTTCTTTTTCACCAAACAACCTTAGTCATTGTTACCCTTGAATCCAAGAATGCCATTTCCTACCAAATAACTAATATATTACACTTTCGAGTCATTCCAAATAAAGTAAAATATTTTATAGAAAAAAATAAAATATTTAAATAATGGAAAAAATCTACTGTTTAGACAAGGAAAATTTTAAAAAATAATAATAATAAACGATTGATAAGCCAAATTGAAATAGCATTGATAGCAGACATGAAGCACGCGAAGTCAAAGCAAGTGGGTGAAATGGTCAAGGTGTGAAAAGAGAAGTAGCTTTGAAGTGTCCAACGGTGGCAAATAAGTCGCAGAATAAGCCGCCGAGACAGAGAGATGCGTTATTGAGTATGGTAACGGCAGCAACAAGTTGCACAGTGAGAATGAATGTGTGATTAGACGAGACTAAACCCTATAACTCTCGCCCTGCCTTTCTTTCTTGAAAAATAGCATTGTCCCATCTCAGAATTTTGCACTTCTTAATGGAGCTGACCTCTGCTGCCGCCCCTTTTTTTTAAAAAAAAATTGCTTTTTGGAACATTTCAATCATTAGGAACTTGAAGGGGCTAATGTGCTTGGGATCGTTGTAATTTTTATTATGTCCTAAAATGGTCCCTCATAGAAAAATATTTTTTACAAAAATGTTTTCTTTTCTTTTGTGATTTAAGAGAGAAAGATAATGTTAATAGCATCAACGAAGTCTTATTATTGACAGACAAAGTGTATATTCTTAGAAATTAGGAAAATTAAAATTTAACCACTTCAATGCTCATGGGTCTGGTGGTTAAATTTGGGGTTATATTTCCAACACTGAACCATGGGCCTACTACGACCACAACTGAAAATTACAAGTGAGAATAATTCCCACATTATATATATAAAAATAGAAATGTGCAGTGGTCCTGTCCAGCTCGCAGCCCTTCAGCTTTCAAGCAATTCTGGTATTGTTTGTCACAAGCTGATCAATGATATATCCTGCCTTTATGAAGAGCAATGTTAAGTCAATCGATAGTCGTATCAAGTGGGGTTCCATACATTAATTGAATTGCTGGTCAAAAAGTTATCATGTTCATGTATGCATGCATATGCATGTTCTTTTGGAAACTATCTCTTGTTTGATTGCCAGAGCCCAGAGCCCCAGAGGCCTACTCTCCTAAGATCACTCTCTAAACAACGCCCTTGTTATGCCAGGAGCTAGCCTGTCTCATTATCCCCAGTATCTTTCTTTGCAGTCAGCCCTGTCCCCAAGAATTCACATATAATCCATTATTGATGGATGATGGATGAGTGGCGGATGATGGTTATGGTTTAAAAATAAGAAGGATATTTAATTTAAAATATATAGCCAGTTTATGTATAGGAACAAAAATACAGACAACCATTAATTCCAACTTTCCAAGCTGCGAAACTGTGTAAGAGTAAGAAAGGGAAGAATACAAAGCCAATAAATCACAAGCAAGAGGCAGGAAGAACCATTGGATAAAGTAGTGTGACCAATCATAATGGGTGTCTTACTCTTTATTGAGTTCGGAACCCGCCCAATGCCCATTGCCCAACTACTAACTACTCCTACTTAATTTGTTTTCATTTTTTTTAAAGTGAATTGCTGATTGAAGCATTCCAAAAAAGGGCAGCCACCGCATTCCAGAGTTTTCCTATATTGGATGGGTAAGGTAACCTCTCTCCTCTATCACGACTCACGAGCCAAGACATTTCTTGGCTGTAGGAATCGTTACCAATTAATGAATACACCATAGAAATTCTTCGAATTCAATAGCTTCATGTGATGTGATCCCTCCCAGTTCATTTTCTATAGTATTGCGCTAAGTGAAATTAGGAGAAATATTAGCATTAAAAAAAGTGAAAAAATTACAAATATTTTCTGGTATATTTTTGTGGAGATGTTGAAAACTTATATGTCGGTTTCTTATCATTTATGTTTCCACATTTGTCTTTTTTTTTTTTGGTTTTAAGAAACGTATAAATTAAATCGATTGTCGATCGTCGCTAGTTGATATTCATGGGACTTTTAAAATTTTTTATTAAAAAAAATAGAATTGCCATCTAGTATCGAAGAAAACTCAAAAAACATAAAAAAAAAAAAAAAGATACTAGATTTAGAGATTTTGAGTAAGGAGCTAACTATATCATTGGGAAAATAACAATAATCTTAAGACACATTTTATAAGGAAAGATATCGGGTTTAGTCTAATCCTAAAAGTATTTTCTAAAAATTATGTTTTTCATATTATTTTCTAAGTCTATTTTCAAACTATTTTGTCATCCGAACTAAATTAATTTTTTATTTTTTAATTATGAAATCGTATTAAATTGATGTTGCGTCTCAAAACCAAGAGTTTCGTTTATTTAGTATTGGATTCATTTAAGTCCCGACACAACTAGCATATCAAGGAACAACTTAATTAACTAATAATGTAAAACCGACGTGTATCTATCCTAACTAATTCTCTTTCTTTATTTTCTTTTCAAAAAGTTTTAAATAAGTCGCTCATGCCAAAGTCGATCTTTATTTTAAAGTATATGTATAACCAATAAAAATTTCATACCACAATGATATGTGCAACCCTATCAAATAAGTAAAATCCATAACTAATTCCTAGAATTAAAATTTCTATCAATTTAACCCCACATCTATTTTAAAGTTAAGGACTTAACTATAGTATTTATTATTGGACACCGAATCGAACAATCCTAATTTTATCAATCTCTTGGGCTTTGATGAGGAAGATAAAGAAGCAATCGCGACTCCCATTGACCATATGTCTAAGGATAGTATGGCGAGCATTTTGTTGCCAACTATCTAGTCAAAAAATGGTAATGAATAATAAAAAATAGTGTGCTCTTCACTACCGGTTATTGTATAAAGAAGACCAATCATAACCGTCTAATTTATATAGAGAGTAAGATAAATGATTGCTCCAATCGCAAGACCCTCACTACTAATAGTTTCTTGTTGAATCTAATGTCATTTACCACATTGAGAGGTTTATATATTAATAAGAGATACATAAATTGGACACCAATTACTTTTAAAGTATTTGATAACACTTCCTTCCGAACTTGAGACCATATTATGGTGGATTTTTAAATAGAAGCTATTTGACATCAACATGCTTCCATACCATTAATGCTCATAAGTCTTGTCACCTGTCTCGATTGGGAGACCTTTTATCCATTAGTATGATTAAATTTCCTTCACTAAGTGCTAGTGTGCAAAAAAGGTATTGGAAAGGGATGAACATCTCCATTCCCAATGTCTAGACGCCTTTTAGGCGACATAAGACTTATTTTGTTGAGATATTATTTTTTGATGAGTATGCCACCGATGGAGAGCTCAAGATTGATAAACCCAATGATATTTCTATTAAGATAATAACTACCAAAACTAACCACAAGAATAAAAGCACTCTTAGGGGTGGCAAGAAAACGAAGAGAGATGACTATGATGTCTAAAGATAGTATGACGAGCATTTTGTTGCCAACTATCTAGTCAAAAAATGATAAGGAATAATAAAAAATAGTGTGCTCTTCACTACTCGGTTATTGTATAAAAAAGACCAATTATAACTGTCTACTTTATATGGAGAGTAAGATAAATGATTGCTCCAATCGCAAGACCTTTACTCGCTAATAGTTTCTTGTTGAATCTAATGTCATTTACCATATTGAGAGGTTTATATATTAATAAGAGATATATAAATTGGACACCAATTACTTTTAAAGTATTTGATAACACTTCCTTCCGAACTTGAGACCATATTATGGTGGATTTTTAAATAGAAGCTATTCGACCTCAACATGCTTCCATACCATTAATGCTCATAAGTCTTCTCACTTTCCGATTGGGAGACCTTTTATCCATTAGTATGATTAAATTTCCTTCACTAAGTGCTAGTATGCAAAAAAGGTATTAGAGAGGGATGAACATCTCCATTCCTAATGTCTAGACACCTTTTAGGCGACATAAGACTTATTTTGTTGAGATATTATTTTTTGATGAGTATGCCATTGATGGAGAGCTCAAGATTGATAAACCCAATGATATTTCTATTAAGATAATAGCTACTAAAACTAACCACAAGAATAAAAGCACTCGTAGGGGTGGCAAGAAAACAAGGAGAGATGACTATGATAATAGTTATCATTAACCGACATTATGGAACTTTCTAAATTTTTTATGAAGGAAAAAGAATTAAAAAATTTTTTAGAGTCGTTACTTAGAATTAAATAGAACAAAAAAACCCTAAAATAAAAAATACTAAATTCAAAGATTTCGGGTAAGGAGTTAGTTGTGCCTTTGAGAATATAACAATCAACCAAAGACACTATTTTTTTTTTTAAAAAAGTACCAAGTTTAGTCTAATTCTAAAAATATCTTCTAAAAATAATGTTTGCTAAATTATTTTCTAAATCGTTTGCAAACTTGTTTACCTTCTAGGTCAAATTGATTTGTTTATTTTTATTATATAATTATATTAAATTGATGTTGAGCTCTAAAATCGAGAATCTTTTCAATTTAGCATCGGATCCA